CCGGGCCGGCGGCACAGGTGCTCCGGGGCTCCCTAGCGGCTTTGGATCTGAAGTGCTGACGCAGCCGGCTGCAGAGTGTCTCAACATCACGTGGCTCACTGCAGTTTGACCCCCCAGCCCTGATGGCCTGAAAAACGTGCCACATGCGACAAGGTGGCCATGCAGAGGGAGAGAGCTCACTCGCTCCCTGGAACACTCGCGTGATCTCTGGCAATACTAAATAAACCAACAAATATGTGTTTCTGAAAGAGTGGCACTCCCTCGGCCTCAGGGCGTGGGCGTGCAGCCCCTTCCCGCCTCTCACTGGCCCCCTCCCAGACCCTGGGGGGGTCGGGCACTCAACCCGGAAGAAGCTTGGGCCCCCAAAGCTGGGAACTGCCCCCACACCTCTGCGGGGCCCAGGCCTGAAGGTGACAGGCCTCCAGGGAGGATGCATTTGCAAAGCCCCCCAGCAGTGAGGCGTTCTTTCCTTTAAAGCCTAGTTATTGGCTGGAAGAAGAAAATGGGCGCAGAGCAGAGGTGCCCGCGCAGAGCAGAGGTGCCCGCGCAGAGCAGAGGTGCCCATGGGGAAGGACCAGTGCCGGGGCGGCTGGCCACGCAGAATCAGCGCAGCGGGCTGAGCAGGGACCAGAAGGCTGGGGACAGTGTGGCTGGTGGTGGCCTGAGGCCAGGGCTATGTCCCGGCCCGGCTAAGACAGGGTGATGGCGCAGCATCTGTGGCCCGGACGGGAGACCGCCTCTGGGAGGGCGGCGGCCCAGGGGCGGTGAGGCAGCACCCAGGACAGGGCCGCCCGCAGAGGCCCACCCGGCCACGCGTCGTCTGCTTGAACTCGCTGGCATGTTTATTGACGCGGGCGGGGCGGTGGCACTCACTTGCTGCCCACCCGGCCCAGCTGCTCTCTGCCGTTGACAGTCACCGACCTCAGCTGCCCGTCCTCCTCCACCTCCACGCGCTCCTGCCCGTTCTCCACGATGCGCTTGGTGGTGACCTTGTGCCCGTTGACCGTCTCAGTGGACGACATCACCGACTTGAAGCCCGAGCTGCCGGAGCCCGAGCCCCCGAAGGAGGTGGACGAGAAGGTGGTACGGCTGCCCCCGCCCCGGCCCAGGACGTCGAAGGACGAGAAGGCCTCCATGAATGCCGGGAACTCGCCGAAGCCCGCCGGGAAGGCCCCCCGCAGGCCGTGGCGTCCGCCGCGGTCGCTGTTGAACGGGGCATCCCAGAAGTCGAAGGAGAAGGGGTCGAGCCCCCCGAAGAACTCTCGGAAGATGTCCTCGGGGTTCCGGAAGGTATAGCCCGAGCCGAAGGGGCTGGGGGAGGGGGCGCACGCCGGCCCGCCAACCGTCACAGCCCGCACGGTCGTACAGGGGGCGCTTCTTGGGGTCCGACAGCACCTCGTAGGCCTCGGACACCTGCTTGAACTTCTTCTCAGCCTCCTCCTTGTTGTCGGGGTTCTTGTCGGGGTGCCAGCGCAGGGCCAGCTTGCGGTAGGCCTTCTTGATGTCCTCGGGGGAGGCGCCGGCCTGGACCCCCAGCACTTCGTAGTAGTTGGCCATGCCGCGGGCGGGCGGCGGGCGG